AGATCGCCGGTCCCGGGCCCGTAGGAGGGGCAACGGAGCCCGGGAAGCACGGCGGGGGTGTCCGGCGGGGGGGGGCGGCCCCTTCTTCGGGACGCAGAAGCGATCTGGCGACAGGTAAGTCGCCAGGATCGCTTCTGTTGTAAAGCCGACAGTCGGCTCTACAAGTTTAAACAGAGTCCCGGCGGCAAAAGTCGCCGGGAGTCTGTTTAAACAGCCCCGATGCTGGCGACGTACACTGTACGTCGTCAGTCACGAAGGGGTTAAAGGGGATGGGGGAGTGTCTTTGATTCTACAATCATACCTTGCACTGGGATTTCATTTCATCTAATTGCATCTTAAAGGGGGTGTATAGTGTCTTGCATCTATTGGTTTTTCTTTATTCTGGTCAGCAACATATAAACTATATTTTTTTGCACCACAGAATGAAGATGATGATGTATATAAGAGAGACTTCAGTGCTCCAACATTGGAAGACCACTTCAATAAAACTATCCTACCCAAAGTTATGCAGGTAACATTTTGTATATATTGTACACAAGTATTATGTTGTGTATTGTACTTTTGTGTTCCACTAGATATTTTCCTGCCAATACATCAGCGCATCCTAGGTTTCTTTCCTCCGGTCGAGCGGGTCCAGTCAGTCGAGCGCAGCGAGTGGCCGGTGTCTCTCCTCCCACACCGCTCAGCCGCATATCGCAGTCCGGCAGAGCGATTGTGGGGGCGGACACAGCCCACGCTGTCACAGGAGGCTGAGCTCTCCTTCGTGCACCACTCGCTCAGCCTCCTGTGCTCAGCCTCCTGTGACAGCGTGTCAGAGAGGAGAGCAAACACTCAGCGATCAGTGATCGCCGAGTGTTTGTAAATAATTGACGACCTGGTATGTTTATTTCGGTTTTTAAATTTCTATTTCTGTGTGTGTGTTCGTTATAGATCGATATTTAGAGATAGATATGTCAGGTATACATACTCCTATTTTTTTCTTTGTTCAAAATTGCCGACTAAACAAGGGAAATAGAACAGATTCCTCCATCAGCGCTTATGAGCGTTGATCGAGGAATCTCCTGCTGTTTGCTTTGTATTCTGACAGGTGTCAGAATACCCATACAGCGCTGGCAGCTCATTGGTTACTAGCTCTGTTGGGCCGACTATTTTCCGACATGCTTCTTTGATCAGCTGATTGAGGGATGCCGGTCGGAAAGGTGTTGACAGCGGCACCCACACATCGAATTTCGGTCAGTTCATCAAGAACCAGCCGGAATTCAAAGTGTATACCCGGCTTAATCCCTAAATCCTTTTAAAGTTGAAGTGCACTTTTTAGGTACTTGTAAAACACAAACATATGATTCTATTTAGCATTGAGAAAACAGAGCTAGCTAAAGATTTTGATTTGAGCCACTAGATTTAGATGCATTACATCATCTTTGGAAAATTCTTTCTGATGACACTTATTCATAACCTGTTCTATATTCAGGTCAAAAACTTTGGACGTTCTGGTAGAACAAAATACACTCACTTGGTGGATCAAGACACAACGTCATTTGACTCTGCTTGGGGCCAGGAGAGTGCCCAGAACACCAAGTTCTTTAAACAGAAGGCAGCTGGCGTAAGGGACGTGTTTGAGAGACCTTCTGTGAAGAAAAGGAAAACCACTTAGTGGATCAGTGTGTGGACTTTTCTCATTTTCCTGCGTTCCGGGATAAATTGTTTATGTAAATATTTGTTTTTCTTTTTTTATGAACTTATCAGTACCCAAAACTTTGTCTACAAAGATTATTGTGTAAATATTCACAATGTTCTGTACATCTTTTTAACCTTAAAACCTGTTTGGTTAGTTAAATGTGTCAAGCCTTGTGTAAACTGATTGGCAGGTATTAGAATATGCTGTCGAGCGTTTGGACTATCTGATCATCTGCAGTCTTCTCTAGGTCTGGGAAGGGAATGTTTAATTGGCAGAATAGTCTAGTAATAACATACAGAACCAGTGATTGCAGGCCCTTATGTAAAGCCAATAATTGGATTTTGGTCATGATTGGCAAGTGTACAAAACATTTAGTCAACCAGCTACTTTAGTGATTTCTGAACAATGGGTGCTAGTTTAGCTCCTCTGCACAAAGGTACTCCTTGACATTAGTGTATTTCCATTTTTGTAGCCAAATTGAGATACTTATGTATTATTGCATATAACCTAGGGCAGGCAACTCTGGCCCGTCAGCTGTTGGGGAACTACAAGTCTCACGAGGCATTGCAAGACTGACAGTTACAGGCATGACTCCCAGAGGCATAATGGGATTTGTAGTTAAAGCACAGTTGGAGGGCCGGAGTTATATATCATAACCTAAAGAACAATTCCGGGAGGAGGGAGCAAAGTTAACTCTTGCAGTGGGGCTACCTCCTGTTTTTTTTTTGTCTAGAGACTAAGATGAAAAAGTTATACTCACCTGAACCTCGAAGCCAGCTGGCTGTCACAGCACTCCCTCCAGCAATGGTCTGTCCCTCTGCATCCTCACGTCCTATATACTGTATAGAACGTGATGACTCGGGACCTTAGACTGCTGGAAGGACTGGCCTAACAACAAGCTGGCTCGGAGGATCTGGTGAATATAATGTTATTTTAGTCCCGATAATACAAAATCACCTGCACTTCATTCAGCGACCAGACCTTGAGTAAGAGATTGGTGCTTGAAGTGACAACACGGATGGCGCCGTGTGAGATGCAGTCCATAATAGAAGTCACCAGCACTCGATGATGTGTGCAAAAAGTAAAGCACTTTTTATTCAATCGTCACATGCGTCATACAGCCAACGTTTCGGGGTGACATAGTGGAGTATCTGGTGAAATATGTTATTTTAGTCCCTACACGAAAATGATCAGTTAACCCTTGCAGTGTGGGGGTAGCACCACTGCAAGGGTTAATACATCCCCCCCCGAGTTGTTCTTTAAAAATTGCTGCTTTCATAGAACTTGCTTTTTCTGGAAAGTTTTTCACTGTACAGAATTTCCCTCTGGAATGCAAGGGAGGTGAGGAGATTAATGTTTACCTAAATTAACCCTGTCTGTACTATGATAGCAGATGTCACTTCCAGTTGTAAATTTGATTTAAACCGTCTGCCCTAACAAAGGGTTAAATATCTAGAAGCAGGGTGTGTTATTGAGGGGACACTCAACATTCCCTGCCACTCTGAAATTGAGAGAGAAGCTACACAAACACATCTGATAGGTAAGAAATATTTTTCGTTATGCTCTGCGAATGGGAACACAACATATTTAGAGGGGTTTTCTCAAATTTTGACTGCAAACGTAGAAATACACTTTAAATTGAAGCGTTCACTTTGCTTATTCAGGCCAAAGTAACAGGTTCTCTTAATAGCCACTCTCTTCTGCTGCTGCTTCCCTGCTTACTATCCCTCTGTAAGCTCAGTCTTTCTGTGACATTGCATCTGCACCCAGATGACCATGCTCGGACCTGATGATTGGCTGCACTACATTGTGTGAGGAAGGGAAGCGTGTCACATACTCTCCCATAACCAGAAGTAGTTGGTATATCACAAGGCTCTGACTGGCGATCAAGCTGCATTCATGTTAGCTTCAGGGAAATAAAAGAATTCAAGTTTTCTAAAAAAAAATAGTATAAAACACCTGCGAAAAAGGGCTGACTTGGGGGGTCTAATTACTGAAATTTGTAATAAAGCCTAGATCTGGCTGTCATATGTAAATAAAATGCTATGTTACAAAATGTTTTGTTCACGTGTTGCACAAACCTGTCGCAGATTGGAATATTAACTGTATAGTGTAAGGGCCTACCTGACTGTATGTAGATCAAAAGGACCGTCTAGGTAGATCCCTCCCCTACAGAGTTGTTGGTAAATCTAATAGATTGTAATGTGAGTGGTTAACTCGGGGGTAGCAGTCTGGATACCACTTGAGAACAAGGACATTAAAAACAATAAAGGAACATATTTAAAATAAAAAGCTATCACTTGAAGGCTGTCCATTACTTTTTAATTAATTTAAAGTAACAGTAAACTCAGGTGTTAAATCCTAAAAATACATTCAAGTACTTTAACTATGAACAATACTGTATCTTATTTGTGTATCACTCGGCTGTAGATCCTCAAATCATCTCTGAATTGGTGCTGACACTGTCCTTCCTCCTGGAGGGGGGCTACTTTTGTTCCCCATGGTGCCTCTGTGTGGTGTTAAGTAACTGCTCCAAGCTCACTCCTGTGATGGACTACAATCTCACATTTACTCATTTGTGGTGTCACAAAATGAAAATAAAGCTATGCAATTACACAACAGGTCAGCTATTTACAGTCACTGTGCAAAATGTTCCATTTAATAAAAGTCTCTGAAAGTGATTGACTTCATATGTTTACAATGGCTTGCTTTGAATTGTATAAAGAGAATGAATCAAAGCCAAAACAGACCTTAAACTTATCAAGAAATACAGGGGCTTTCGTTGATGGCCTCTTCTGAAATTACTAGTTAACTCAAATTGAAGCCTTAGTGAGTCAATGTGATATGAGGGCATCCAGCAAAAAGTAAGAAATTAGTCTTGCTCTCATGACACAGTTCCTTTAACTGATCTCAGAGACCTATGTACACTAGCCCTAAAATGTAAAGATTATTATTGTATACATGAACAGGAAGAGGTTATATGAAATAGACAGATTATAATATATAGTTCAAGTACAAAACAATAATTGAACAAGGATCACACAGCAGACATAATAAGTTGTCCTTTATTCAAAATAACTTATTACACACTGCCATTTTGGCTCACAGATCGGTAATAAACACTTGAATAGGAACAGATTTACCCAATAGTTTGTCCTTTTATTAAATGTGTCCTTAACCAACATGGCATATTCTAACAAATCTCTGTCGGCTGTGGAAATACAAGTCCCAACACACCTATGTCAGTGCATGCTGGGACTTGTATTTCACAATTATCAGGGAGATCCACGCTGTCGGTCCTTGGTATAATGAATCCAGATTGTTCCTGTTCCCAATTTGAAGGAAAGATGAAGACTTTCTTTAATTAATGTCATTTACTGGCTCAGTTGGTGAGAGCAATAAGAGCTTCTACTACATTTCCCATGTGTTCCCTCAAACTTCGTTCAGCTGCTGATCGAAGGATTTCCATTTCATTCATCTAGAAGGAAGAGAAGAAAATCTTAAATCATCACTGCAACATAATGCAAATTGTATCCAAACAGAGTTACTCATGCATGTCATTTAAACTGATTATAACGAACGTGAAGGCATAAACTCTATTGGGACATTAGCAAGGTACCCCTAATTCTGGTCCCCCAATGGTGACTTCTGCTTCTCTCTTCAAAGATGTCAGTGCTAAAGTTCCAGCAGTGAAACTGACAGTTGGGCCTGGGGCACATCGCGATCATAGCAGGTTGTTCCTTTATTCAGAAAACATCTTGTATTTTTTTATAATACAAGGCGTTCTGTGATTGGACAAGGAGTGTGATATGCTCATAAACCCCTCGTCCAATCACAGAACACTGTGCTCTAACCCGAACTGTACGTTTTACCACTGGAACTTCAGCAGTGACCTCACTGTCCGAGACTGCATGTACGTAACATTTTTCCAGAAAGCAGCAGCCGCCAGTGGGGCACACAACATTAGAAGTACTTAGCTAATGCCCCAATAAAGTTTCTGCTAATGATTTAGCATTAAATATACAAGATTTGGCTGTTTAAAGCCAAATATCCAGCCAAGTGATCACCGACAGGACTACTCTTTCCCCATTTCAAGAGTGATTTCAGAAACAATCCACACCAGCTCCAGGGTTCTTGGGAGCGAAAGCTGGAATGACAGATTTCACTGACAAATCTGATATTGTTGTGTCAACTCTACAAGAACCTCTCGATGTTACTGACCAGACTCCTGCTTACCAAGTAATGTAAGCAGCAATGTGGCTTCTTAACTAAAGACCATGGGGACTCCGGAAACTTCACTGTTCACTAGTTCTGGTGTCTGCTGGCTTTAGGATTAACCCACAATTTGGGTTAATCCCTCAGGCAGTCCTATCTTAAATGCCAGCAGACACTATTAATGAGCCAATGAACATGAAGTCTGCATTCTCATCAAATTTAGAAGAATACTCTGTAGACTTTCCGGGAACTATGCTCATAATATTCTAAACATTTAGGGCCCATTCACAGCAGCACATTTCAGCGCCCAATGGGCAGACAAGGCAAGTTGCCTTGTTCTATATCGGTTCAGTTCCCACCACCATGTTAGTGTTCACTGCTAAAAAGTACTGCATGCGCTACTGTTTTTCAGCTCAGTGTGTTGCGGTACAACCACAGCACACCACACTGTGCCAATGGGACTTCATGAAATGTTCTAACTAGAGGGGCACCGAAACCAGAATAAAAAAAAAGTGCCGGGCCGAAAATGTTTTTTTCTAATTTTTTATAAACTTTTAAATTCTTATTATATTTGATTTTTATTTATATTAAATAAACAGACCCCTGATATTTCCCTTTTAAAATATAATTTTTGCAGCCCCTGTTCTAAATGAACAGGAAGCCTGTATACGGAGTGTTCCTGTTCATTTATAACATGAGGACAGAGTATGTTTACTATAAACACAATCATGAATGAACAGGAGGTGATGTAGATCACTTACCATTCATTCATAATTGAGGATATAGTAACCATACCATGTCCTCAATTATTTACAAACACTCAGCAATCACTGATCGTTGAGTGCTTGTACCCACTCTCCTTCCTGACACGCTGTCACAGGAGGCTGAGCTCCCGGTGCGGGGAGGAGAGCTCGATCTGACAGCCGACTCCTCCCCTGCACCGCTGGCCAGCCTCCTGTGACAGTGCTGGCTGTCTCTGCCCCCACACCGCTCTGCCGATCTGTGACAGGAGGCTGAGCGGTGCGGGGAAGAGAGACGCCGGCCTCTCACAGCGCTCTCCTCCCGCAGAACTCGGCCGCCTGTGACAGTTTCTCTCCTCCCCACTGGGACACAGAAGCGCCCAGCGGGGAGGAGAGAAAAGCACGGATGCACCGCTATATTGGCAGAACAATGGCACTTTCGGCAATTAGCCAAAAGTGCCATCTTCGGACCATATGTTTTGGCGGCCGATATATCGGTGCATCCCTAGTTCTAACAAAAAGTAAACATCAAAACTGTTCCCGTCAGTACACACCAGCAGCCATGTATTCAGTGCAGCTTGCTGGTGTTAATGGGCCCTTAGTATAAGTTTTTTATACATTTGTTTCAATATATACACTGTATACATTAGTCGCAAGTTACATAAAATAAACCTAAACAGCGAAGAGAAGAAATAAAAAATCTGTGTTCAGATGTAAATAAAAGTTACAATGGATAACAATTGTGTATTATTATTGATCTTAACCCCCAATCACATGGTAATGTGCACAAAATCACTGAAATTAATGGGCTGCCCTATGCTAATGCATGACTAAGGCCTTGTTCACACCAAATGCAGACCAGATCCAGTCAGGTTTCTGCACACGCAGTGCAGTGGGTTGTGCCGCGTTTTTGATGCGTTTAGGGCCGGTTTTGGTTAAAAAAAAAAGGCACTTGCATGCGTTTTTGATGCGTTCCAGACCAGATCCAGAGCAGGTAAAATAGGGCTTGCCGCAGTTTTTTCATCTGGTCTGGATCCGCACGCTGCGATGTGAACTGGAGGTCAAAATACCATTGGAATACATTGGACGCAGTTTTGATCCGGTCTGCACCTGCTCTGGTCCGGATCTGCTCTGCGCTTGCTGTGAACAAGGCCTAACACAGCAGATTGCTAAGCATGTTATCGTGTGTGGCTAGTGTGAATGAGGGCTTAATGTTACTCACTATTTCAGGGTTTTGTGGGGTGTTCTTACACATTATTCATGTAAAGATTTGATCATTTTATTGTATTTATTGGTGTGTGTGTACACAAAATACGACAATGCACATATCTGCCTTTATTATGTTCAATTAAAATCAGTATATAAAGCTCAAAAGAAATACAAAGTTAAAATGTCAGTAAACCCCTCATGTCATTGGCTCTAAAGGTAATTGCTCCTGCTTACTACTTCCTTATTCAGAGTGGCAACGCTATTCCAGCCAATGGTCCATCTTCAGCATTGCCACTCTCACTAAACATGCTCACTGGGAGAATGCTCTGAGCTTCAGTGTCTTACGAAAGAAAACTTCCCCAGCATCCCTTTAAAGGTGCACATTCCTTCCTGCTGTTCACTGTGTGTTGCAGGTGTTAGCTTGTACAATCTGTTCCAGAAGCAGCACTGATAGAGTGTAATCAAGCAACTAAATCACCAGACTGCACAGCTATAGGCTGCCCCACCCAGCGGCCAGCAGGCAAGTCCAAAAGGATGCGGGGGACATGCTTTGTAATATAATGCTGGGGCACAGAGCTTCATCACATGCTGAAACTAAACTTCACCCTACTATTGGACAGCGAGGTGTGGAGGTACATGGGTTATTATAAACGCAAGATAAAAGAGGCAAGACAAAAAAAAAAAGGAATTAAACTTAATGAAATGATATGATTTACAGTTAGATATTGTTAGAGTCATATTCAATGCTCATATGCAATAAGTAGTTCGAATGTGTTTCCATACACTTTAAAGAATCTCACTTTCATGGATTCTCCAGCCCCAATTTCATTTAAGTTCAGTTAATGTCATGCTGGACAGACCAAACAGAAATTCATACTCACAATAAGCTCCACGTCCTCCCTCTTGATTGTGACTTTGGCAAGCTCCTTTTCTCTAAAAAATAAAGCTTCTAATAGTTTATAAATCTGAAAAGATTAGGTCAGGTCAGTTTGTACCTATCTATATGTTACAACACTTGCAAGCCAATAATCCCAATACTTTGCCATTATGTAAATCATCTGTCACAAAACATCGCAGCATCCAGGCTTCCGGCATTTAGAAACTGAAGCCAAGTGGCAGCATATAGTAACATTACACGTGGAATAAAAGTAAATAAACTGACTCACTGTTTACCAGTATATTAAATGAAAAGGAACAACTCCAAAAGGGTCTTCTATATTTCCCACCCAGGCCAAGTCTGCTCGTCATGAAATAAACTATTAAGAGATAAAGTCTGGAGGCTAACAAACTCTCCAATCTCATTCTTAACTGCTGGATAGGCATACAAAGTAATACTGGGCTTAGGAGCCATTCAACAGCTAACTGATGATAAAACAGGAAAGGACACCATTTTCCTGACTTTGTTTAGATGCCAATGACTCTTGGGTTCATATATTACTGCCAAGGCACACAGGGTACCAACTGTCTGTATTTATACAATGGTTGACTAAAATACTAGAAATAAGGCTGCAACAACTAAGTCAATCATAATCGATGATCGTTAGCATTTGATTAGTTGCCCTGCTCGTATCGCCACGCACGCTGCTGCTTCTCCTCCCCGCTCTCACTGACTGATTCAGTTCAAGGGGGGCGGCGGTGGCCGCCACTGCCAGACTCGCCCACACCATTCACAATCGCCACAGTGAGAATAATTAAACTGATGCGAGGAGAAGCGGGGGGAGGGACAGCCGACGACAGACACGTCCCACATCACGAACGGAACACACTGCATTGCAGCTGGCTCAGTAGTTCGTGGGGCCGGAGGGGGCGTGGCTGGCCATTGAAGTGAATGGCACCATAGCCACGCCCTCCGGTCGCAATGCGATCGCCCTCATGGGATCGCAAGGCACACTGTGACTGCGGTTCGGTCAAAATAGTGCTTGCAGCATTTTGACCGCACTGCACCAGACAGCAGGCACAATGTGCCCTGCGATCCCGTGAGGGCGATCGCATTGCGGCCGGAGGGCGTGGCTACGGCGCCATTCACTTCAATGGCCCGCCACCCCACACCCCCCAGAAAAGTGAGCCGGCCGCAATGCGATGCGTTCTTGCCGGAACGCACTGAATATGATGTGAACAGGCCCTGACTCCCAGAGGCAGGATGGGATTTTTGGTTTCACACTAGCTGGAGTGCTGAGGTTGCCTACTCCTGTCCTAGAATAAAGATGTAGTCAATAAATGCAAACCATGGCTTGTTAAGCCTGGATGATGGCTCATACTACTGATAATTCTGAGAACAATATAATGTGGGAAGAGAGGTGAAGCAGGACAAACTCACCTTTCTTGCTTAGCTTTCTGTTCTCTTGATCGTCTGTCTCCAATTACTGACATAGCCTACAAAAGAAAAAAAGAACAAATTCATTTCAGCTCCAGCAATGAACTTCTCTCCTTTGGTCTGTATATTATACCATTAGAAGTGTTTTGTTATATCTGTCTGATAAGTGCACCTATTGATCTGGTCAGAAATTCAAAGCTGTCCTGTGTCCTCTGTTCACTTTCTGTGCTATCTTAAACAGTTGTCCTGGTTGTCATCCCTCACAGCCCTCCTGGTTGTCATCTTGGACTACAGAATGATTAGTCTTTATGTTGCAGAGATCTGAGAGTGGAAGTGGTTGGATAGTTTATCATTTTTAGCAGATCAACAAATATTTTTTTTGTACTTGTGGGGGTCTCTAAAGGGACAAAACAATGGGGAATCTTGACTTATTTCTAAAAAGCAACACATTTCTCCTCTGCCAATTTATTAGCAGTCACATGTCCACCATTTTATTCCTACAGTCCCTGCAGAGTCAAGACTAGGGATGGAGGTAAGCTGCAGTCTTGGACTTTAACTTCCAGACACATTTGAAGTAATGTAAAGGGCAGCCTATTTCTTTGAATGGGTCACTGAAATCACCGCAATGGATACAAATCATGTACAGAGCATCGTCATTGAGCTGGGAAGGTACGTTGTGCTGCTATGCAGAATGAATGGCACCACATCAATATGCATAGCCGCACTGCAAGGGTATGTAGATGCAAAACATTTTATTTTAGGATAGCATGTGAAAAGATCAGACTCCCGGTCAGATTGTATTGGTTTGTCCATGCTGGGGGGATTCACCCTCACTACTGCTCCTAGTGACCATTGTTTCTGGTACAAAAAGTGATGGGAAATCAAAAACATTGTCCTCACAGGAATAGGAGGTGAGGGGAAATCCTCCAATGGGTAAACCTGTTCTGGAAACGGCTGTCTATCCCCTCACTTTGAAGAGATGTCTTCTTACTACATGTTGTTTCTCTGGGACAGAAAGTTAAATAACTTCCCCCTACCTACCCAAAGCTTAGTTAATGCCCTCTAATAAGTGTTCCTGTATGATGAGAATAAAAAACAAAACATATTAGCGCATGAAGTGCAGCATTGTTTTCATTGCAAAGTTCCCCTCGTGCCACGAACTTGAACCTCCTGTCATCTGGAGCTGGCTGTCAGTCATTTTTACAGCTGGTGCCCTGATGATAGGTGACAGCATCTTACACATATGCCCCATGCAGGCGTTCTCTCTGGCAGGACCTAGTTACATGGAACCAAATAGCATGATGCTTCATCCAACATTGCCTCCTGGGATGTATAACGTGGACAGTCCAGGGGGAGGCATACTACATATCCTCACCTAGGAGAGGGATCAGGAAGTGGTGGTCTGCAGGTCAGAGGGAGGGGGGAAGGAAAGAAAGTTACAAGAGAACTACCACAAAACCTTTTTTTGGTTCTAGTCCTCTTTTGGGTCTATTTACTATACATATCCTCGTGACCCAAAGTTAGCATATAGTAGGATACAGCCCGCTATTTCCTGACGGCACAAAGGCGCGCTGCAGCCGGGAAAGAACCCGACAAAAACACTGACGGGTCTTAACCATTCTCTACAAATCCAATTTTTTTTTTTAAATTGTTTTATAGATACACAATCTTTGCTGAGTAGTAAGTAAATAATAAAGGTGAACAAGTCATCAAATAAGGGTTAGCTTGCCTTCCAGTCCCAATGGGAAAGGGACACGTTTGAATGGGGGACATAATAGTACAGGTCCTCGTTGAACTGTCTGAAGACAGTAAGCAATGTGTGACCCCCAGAGGCAGCCATGCCTGCTACATATTCAAGCGATCTCCTCCCCAGCACCCGTGGGCCCTCACCGTCTCCAGGTTGGAGCTCTGGATCTCCTTCTCCTCCGCATAGTCGGTCACCCTCTCTAGATCGGCCGCCCCGCTGTCATGCTTGCGAGGCTTATCAGCCGGCCGCTCACTGCAGTTCTCCTCATTCTCCAATTCCAACTCCACATCCCCCTCTGCAGCCATGTTTTCTATCACGACCGGAAGACAAGCGAGAGAACCGAGCATGGAACTCTACTTCCGGTGATGTGTCGAAAGTGCGAACTTATCGAGTTGTGGGACCGCATGACTTCCGGTTTCCTCAGAACTACGATGTTTGATCACAAAACATGTTGTGCACGAGCGCCATCCACGGCATTGCCCTATAGACATAGACCGCAGCAATAAAGTAATAAAATGATGTAGGATGACAGTAAGCCAGCACGTTCTTTATCTCCGGTGCCCCACTCAATATGGCCGCCGCTTGAGTGGGGCACCTGAGATAAAGAACGCGCTGGCTTAGTGTCATCCTACATCATTTTATTACTTTATTGCTGTGGTCTATGTCTATAGGGCAATGCCGTGGATGGCGCTCGTGCACAACATGTTTTGTCTAAAAACCTCGTAGTTGTGAGGAAACCGGAAGTAATGCGGTCCCACAACTCGATAAGTTCGTAGTTTTGATCGATCACCGGCAGCCAGCGTCCCTGCCGCTGACGTCACATCCTACGATAGGACCCCCTGAAGCAGTAGGTTGGGAAGCCTCGGCGGCCATGTTAAAGACTGGCAGGAAGAAGTTGTACAGGCTGGCTGGATAGAATTTTAACATGTGTTTATTAGATACTTGTTATTCAGCCTCCTTATTTAACCACTTGCTGACCGGGGTGTTAAACCCCCTTCCTGCCCAGGCCATTTTCTGTATTCAGCGGTGTGGTACTTTGACTGACATTTTTTTCGTCATGCAATGCTGTACTGAAATGAATTTTATACCATATTTTGGGGACAGACAGAGCTTTCTTTTGGTGGCATTTAATCACCACTGGGGCTTTTATTTTTTACTATATAACAAAAAAAGGACCGTCAATTTTGAAAAGAAAACTGTTTTTCCTACGTTATGTTATAAAAAATTTATTATTACTCATATTTTTGGTAAAATATAAAAGAAAGGGTCACGTCGGCTAAGTAAACACCAAACATGTCAAGCTTTTAAAATTGCGTACGCCAACAAAATCGCAAAAAACGAACATGCCTAAAATTGGCTTTAAAAGCTTTTACTGCTTATCAGTTTAGTGTTATCAGTGATTGATGGGCCTAGAATTATTGCTCTCACTGCGACATTCGCGGCGATATGTAACATGTGCGGTGTAATCGTTGTTTTTGCACGTAGGCGCGCTTGACGCGTATTTAAGTGTATAAGTGCGTGGGGGCGGGGGACTTAAAACTTTTTTGGGTGTTTTTTTTTTTAATATGAGACTTTCATTTTTTATTTTTTTTTAACTTTTCTTTTCAAACTTTTTTTTTTAACTTATTTTTTTATACTTCACTTGATTGCTATCACATTGGGGGTTAAAAAGCCCCCAATGTGATAGCTAGAAAAAAATGACAGGTCCTCTTACTGGAGACATCAGGGGTCCCCAAGACCCCTAATGTCACTCCCGCTAGGTCTAATCCTCCCTAGCAGCTTAAATGATAAAACAACCAGTATATAGCTTTTAATTCTGGAGGAAAAAAAATATTTTCATTGTACCACTCTTAGATATTAAAAATACAATAGTCGATTATCCTGGGCTGTCCTAGGTTAAGTTTTTTTTTTCCATGGTGTGATATTTTATTACTAATTTATAAAATACATTCTAAGATAAGAAACAATGTATAATTAAGCCGATGCTTGCAAAATGGGGGAGATTTTTTTCCTTTCCCGGAGTACGTGATGGTAGGTGGATTAAAATGGATTTTGGATATTGATTGGTCTTAGATAGGGATGCACCGATACTTTTCGAGTACCAGTGCAGATACTTGTCATTTTCACGAGAACTACCAGGGTTGCAGCGGTTGCAGCTGGGACCTGGCTCTGGCGCTCCACCACTGTCCTGAAATCATTAGTCTGTATTGTTTTAGAAAAACTGTCACATGACTATAAACAAAAATGTATAGTATTTGTGTCTGTAAGTACTTGGGCAAGTACCAGTACTTGTACCCGCAAAACTGGTATCTGTGCATCCCATATTTATAAAAACAAAATCATACATTAAAACAGAGATGTACAAATCCCAGGAGCTCAGTGTGCTCCTTACAAATGACAGCTGCCTCCTCACTTTTGCATTTTTCTCTAGTCTAGTCTTGGAGCTGGAAAAGTATCTGCACATGTACTTGTACCGAGTACTGTACTTGGTATCGGTGCATCCCTAGTCTTAGAGGTTCCCAGTAGGTGTCAGGTGAACCCAAAAACCTTTGGTCTACTATGGGCCGGGACACCATTGGTAATGTTGGACATGTTTGGGATAGGTCACCACATGACTTTGTGTCCAAGTGAAAATATCATCACATGATTGCCAAATGAGAGCACACTGACTTAGACTGACAGCACAGACACATAAAGGGCTAGAATGTTGGTGGGAGAAGAATCAATTACCCAGACAAAACTAAGAGGTGAACAGACGCAACACTAGTTTGAAATGTCTGCTATAAAATTATAATACAACAACGATTTTGGAGATAAGAGCCCTCAATGTGCTTTTTATTATACAGCCATATTTTGTCTTTGGACGGCTTTTTCTGACATTTTAGTAAACATTCTCCACTTGGATCCTAACACTGTAATAATATTCTTATTTGGGTTCTCAGATTGAAAATGTTAAAAACCCCATGGTGTCATGTGATTGTTTTAGTAAAAACTGACACTAGAATGCACTATTTAAAGAAAACCTTTACCCCGCTTTCACAAAAGTTTTGCTTTTACTTACATTTATAGGGTTATTCACAAAAGAGTGAAGAGCTTGGAGAAGGCAGGAGAAGTGAACAATCTAGGACAACATAGCTGATTTGAATTCTTTTTCCAATTCACCTCACTTTCCAGTTCAGCTATGTTGTCCTAGATTGTTTATTTCTCCTGCCTTCTCCAAGCTCTTCACCCTTTTGTGAATAACCCTGTTAATGTTTTTCCACTTCCTGGTTGAATGAGGCACTAGTGATGTAGCCCTGGCATCACAGATCCTGGGAAGGCTACATCACCAGTGCCTTTCTGGAAAATCTCATTTGTAGACTGGAAAACCTCACAAGGTCTCGGGTTAAAGGCCTTTTTCCCCTCAGATGATGTACACTGTCACACGTATCAAGAGGCAGAGCTATATACAGAACCTCTTTTCAACTGTACAGACCACCAAGAACAAAAAGGAGAGATGGTTATATGTTTCCTTAACTATAAAGGGTCTTCTGATTCCTCTCAACATTCCTCGCACCCCGTTTTCTTAATGAATATAGCCACAGATAACCAGAGTTAGAGAGGAGACAAAAAATTTAAGGAAAGTTATTGTAATGTGTGCAATGTCAGTCTTGGTACTGCCCCATTTAAGCCTGCTGCCCTAGGCACTGAACCATCGGCGCCATTTTGGTCAATACAACCCTGACTGACGATGTACTACACTTTATTGGGAGGAGACTTGTACTATAGATTACTGGGTGCTGTCACCTTGTATGCAAATGCCATCATTCTTCCAGTGATCATGTAACTTGGTGGCTGCTGGCTGTATTATTATCCTGGCTAAATTAAGAGTTAATAAGCTTATCTACCTTGGTGACACTATTTATGTATACTCTTAGCAGCTTTGAGCACAGGAAAGTGATGCAGATCCAGCAATGTTTCTTGATAGACCAGCCGTTCTGTTACTGATTGATATGCTCTCTGTGATAAACCTTTGATTCTATTTGCAATCATTCTATGCAGCAGAATTTGCCTCTCATCAACAATTAATATAAGATATTGTATCAGCTACCCATTTGTCTGGGCTTATGGATTGTGCTCATCATAATGAAATCAATGTTCACATGCCTTTTCATTATACTTAATCGGATCCTATTAACTTGACTTGTAAAATGCATACCAACGCACCCCAATTCAGTGTGTAGGACTTCTTACCAATGAACTGGAATGTAGTACAATGATGGGAATAGGTCCTGTAAATCAACTTATATTTAAAAGTCCACGTATTTTGCTTTTCCTGGAAAATATGGCAAAATATATGTCCTGGTGTGAATGAGGCCATATTTTATTGTGCTCTAACGGCATACAGTTGTGGTGGTTTCAACTCTTAAATTGCAATGCTCAAGACATGGTAGGTATGTTTGGCTTGAAATGTAAGCAACTGGCTTTGGACAAATCCTATTTAATGTACTGAGCTTCCACAGCCTTCCCCCTCCTGTACAGATGGTAAGATGCATTCTGAGTGCCAAGTGTAAGTCGGAGGCTTATCTCTTATAGCATTGCATGTTCCCAAGAATCTATGACATGACCGCTTGAGGTGAAAAAAACAATCCTCCATCTACCTAGAAGTAAGAAAATGCTGGTAAAAAGATGCTGGGATCGTTCTTGGCTGACACTGTGAGACGGGCCCTGTCTGGAATCCTGACGTGGTAGGGGGTAAGTACTACTTGCTGAACTCTCCAGTATTGGAAAGACTGTCAGGATGAAATTAGACTATTTTGAGCCACATTTGCATGTAACCTGAAGAACATAAAACAGTAACTATTGTCAATTGCTGTTAATGATTATAAAGATGGGATTTGACAATATGGATATTTTTGGGCACCTTTTGTTGCTTATGACAGCACATATGTTTTTACAGGTAAGGGATGTTTTATTGTTACAAGCAGCCATCCCACCAGGAATCAGAAGATGTTTTCCTCTGAGCAGCATAACATTGCACTGTAAAGAGTCAGCCACCTTTCATTTATAGCTATGAGGCTAATGGATGAAACGGCTGTCCGCAAAGCCTTGAGAAGAAACAAGCTATGCACAGACTTTATCAATTCAGCCTCTTATCAGGTATATATGAGCTATTATCATCATCTGGATCAAATATATGCTGCTTAAATAGCTTTAACAGTTGTTATAACATTCATGTCATACAATAAGAGCTGTAAATATTTACTTATTCTTAAATTAACTGTATGGGACTATTGCTGGCGCTACATAATTCGTTTTTTATTTAGTGTAACACAGCTATTAGAATTAATTTAGTTTTTTTGTTTTTTTTTATTAGAAAATTTTCTGTATGCTGTAAATACATTTATTATGATTCTTCTTCTTCTTTCCTCATTGTATAATATTGTGATCTGTTTACAAAGGTGGACTAAGCTATTCTGATTTTTAGATATTTTGTTGCTGTGGACCTTCCCCATGTTCGTTTTGCTGCGCCTGCTGCCCCAGCATTAAAGCGTCCACTGGTACCAGGCTCATGTACACATTCTTTCACATTCTGGCCTCCACTGTCTGCTGCCTCATGCTTTCCAGAAAAGTGTCAGAAACTGTCAAGGAACATGTAAGTAGCAGGAATTATCCCCAATGGTTTAGGAGGTTTAACATGCTGGTTCTCAGATACGACAACTGATTACAAGAGTATTTTCCAAAGTGTTGGAAGTGTACCCCTGGTGATGTATATCACCACTGTAGGTGCTACACATCTGGCATTAGGATATAGGTGGTGGACTGCACTGTGGGAGCACTGACTGAAGTGACAGCAGTAAGTGGCAATTATTGCATAAAGTGTTTTGACTCAACACTTGTTCAGAAAGGACCTGCATGTTTGGGTCCCAGTAGACATTTTGGAGAGGGTGATATACTGATTGGTGGCAGTACAGGTGGGTGGTACATCCTATAATAATAGCATAGGTCACTAGACACTAGAAAGATTGTGTTGGTGGTGCATGACTGACCAAGGTTTGAGAGACACTTTTCTACAACACTGACTGCATTCGCACATCCTTGGTTATAATATAGTGAAACATAGTTGGGTATGTTCTTATAAATGCCCATGACTCATTGTCTTGCTTGTAATATGTCTGTTTTATTGTATACAGGTGCCTTGGATTTCTCTGCTCTGCAAACATTTGCCTGGAGGATCAGACTGTGACATTCTTGTGGGGTATACAGCTGTGTACAGAGTTTGCTTTGGGACTGCATCTTTTTACTTTATCCAGTCAGTTTTCCTTTACAATGTGAAATCTACACAGGAGTTCAGGGCCTTCATTCACAATGGGTAAATGGCACTGTTTTAATGATTTCATCATTGTAGGATCACTGTTTTTTACGCGGTAAATGAGTGAGGCCTACAAAAACTCTTCAATTTTTGCCAAAATGCTACCAGTTACTAGCCATAGTAGGGCAGTGTTTGGGATAAAAGGAAGAAATAGCAGATTGTTGATTACAGTAAATGTGCAAAGCTTTAAGCTGGCCATGCACTAAGATTTTTTAACAGATTTCTCTATCCACACTAAAGAGCGTGGTTGGACGAATCTCCCACTGCCGCTAATGCTGCAGCTGGAGCTCGCCACTGTCAGAATACATGAACAGTGATTGGCTGCAGTTACTGTTCGGCCAAGAATTTTCAAACCAGCTTGAGTTTTGTTGAGCCAGCAGGGCCAGCCACTGTAAAGGATTTTGCTGTTTCCTGTGGATTGGCTAAAATTCTAACACCGTATGTCCAGCCTTAGTCCAGCCATGTACCATGTACCCGCCCCCGTCTGTTTCGCCAGTCAGCGCTGGAGGATCGGACAGGGGAGGGGGGAATCCAGTCCCTTCCCTGTCACGGCTCTCTGCCGGCACAGGATCGAGAAGTGAGCGAGCGCCGGTATGTTTTCGCTCACTTCCTGATCTACTGAGCCGACCTGTGACAGTTTCATTTCACATCAGCCCTGGTGTACTTTGTGCAGCGGTGTTGTGATGCATTGTTACAACATGTTACACTGTTTCTTCTAACTTTACTGAAGCGTCACAAAATTAAGCTTCATTCAACTCTGTGTCCTGCAGTGCAGTAATGCTATAATTTTACCAACACACCTGAAGACTGTTATGGTGTCAACAGGGCAATTGTTTTCTATGTGTTTTCTTACGCTGAGCCTGTGTTGATCAATGCAAACCAGTCCAGGTCAATGGACCTGGTGCGAACGGGCCCCGAGAGATGAATTATTGCAGTTTGCTGAATATTTATGAAGCAATTACAGCCAAAAATTGCGATGAGTGAGATTCCACTTGTTTTTTTGCCTGAAGACGAAACTGAGTGGCTCCGAAACGTCGCTTGACAATGTGACACGATGAGAGGTCAATAAACATTGACTGAAAATTAATCTGGAGTGCGAGTGACCGTTTCTACATTAATTGAGTGAGATTCCCATGGCGCTAACACGTACTATACTGTAACCTTAACACTAACCCGCTCTTGTGTAAACTTAAAGCTGAACTCTGGCATAAGAACATTTTGTCTAAATGATCTCTGCAGTAATTCAGTGTAAAACGTTGCCTCTGTGTAATAAAGCTGTGTACTAATGCTCCTGTAATAAAGACCGGTCATTGCTGCTCTCTCTCCATGTGCAGGATGAGTGGTCATGTATCCGCCCTATCTATAGTTTTCTGCAGGCAGCCTTTAGTGGGTGGAGCCTTCTGGGTCCCTCTCACAGCTCTGCTCTCTGCACATGTGAAGCACAATAATAATGTCATTACTACTGATACTGTACTGTATATGGTAATATCCGTTTTTTCCCCCCATATAAGTGGATTAATATGCTCTTTGACTATTAGGGAATATATCTGAATGAAAGTTTTTTGTGTGGCCAGATTCAGCTGTAAAGTATATATGAAGGCATCAGAAAGTCAGCCACTTTACAGTATCTATGCTAAGTTTGGGGGGAAACTATCGGTCACTATAGGTAGGCATGTCAGACTATGGCTTCACAGGCTGACTAGGGGACTGCAGGGTTGGTGTTCTACTGTTGTCAACGCTACCACATGTTCAGAAGCAGGGAAGAAGGCAGGAGACTGGTAGGATCCCCAGGTATTTGGGGTTGTTTTTAAAGCTATTTGCCAAAGGATGTAGACATAGTAAAGAAAAAAGGCAGATTTTAATTGATTGGAGTCCCTTTTGTTTTTACATTTACATACTCCCTTGTGTGCAGTCTTGCCTCTCCTGCACCAAAGTCCTTGGCCAAAGACCCATATTTGCCAGTGCCAGGATCCTCTTTTTTTCTGAAAACTGGACAGCTAATACACTTTGCTGAAGGATGTGTCATTTACATTACACAACTGCAAAGTCTTTTTCGATCTTACTACTTATCATAGTACAGTGGAATACATATTTGCTTATTAATTGGCAATTGCTGCATCTTGATTGCAATCTCTTTTCTATTATGTAGTTTTTGGTTCCTGAAGTTCATGATATTGGTTGGAATGTGTGTTGCAGCATTCTTCATCCCTGCTGAATCTTTTATACGAGGTAAGCAAAAGAAATAACGTCTTTCATTTTGTTCTTTTCCTGATGAGTGTTTGACACTACAAATATTAATTTACTGTAATAAAATAGATTACCTCTTACCCAGATTTCTGCATTTAAATATATTGGTAGTTTTTTAAAAATATAAGTCTCGTATATAGGAGCCGTGTATAATTCTGTCATTTAAAGCTCTGCTAAAGCGGGCTATATACAGTACCTAGGGTGATTTCTTTACACAAATTGATGATAAATGCACAAACATCTTTGCCTGCTGTTAACTGCAAGGTGTAAAACATTTTGTAACAACTAATAAGAATAGGAGATATGTTGGTTATGTGTTTAGGTGAAGTACTGAGATCTTAAGGAATGCTGAATTAAGTTTTACTTGCTTATAAGGAAATTGCGTTTGTGTATACAGCATCATGAACGAAACATAAAGATTAGACATGTGCGATTTGTTTCGTTCCGAATCGAAATTCGGACGAATTCTCGGAAATTCGGACATTCGGATGTATCCGAATTCCGAATTACAGGCATAACGAATGCAAACAGATCCGAATTTCCATTTCCGAAATTCGGTAGCGTTCGTACGAACGTTTGTTTCGTTTTCTGTTCTTATTCGTTTCTTATTCGTTTCTTATTCGTTTCGTTCGTTGGAGCAAAGTGACATTAGAGAAGGAGAAAAATATTTTTTCCCCCTCAAATGTCACTTTTGCTGCAAACGAACGAAACGAATAAGAAACAAATAAGAACAGAAAACGAAACGAACGTTCGTACTAACGCTACCGAATTTCGTCCGAATCCGAATTGACTTTCACACCCGAATCCTGAAAAACGAAATAACACAAATCCGAATTTAAAACGAAACTAAACTAAACAAATTTTTTGGCAGTGCACATGTCTAATAAAGATCACAGATAAAAGCATACATATAGAAAAACTAGCATAGACTAGACTTGCACCACTGCGCCATCTAGTGCTCAGAGACATAGTTACAGTATATTAGCATATGCTGCTGCATTTCCAACACCCCTTCGCAACGGAATTCAGCTTCACAGGAAACTGTGACGATCCTTTGGCAATGGCTTGGTGAGTGCATCCGCAGTCATATTTTTCTGATGTTCAATATTGAACGTCGATAATAGCTTGCTTTTGAGTGTCCCTTAACAGATGATGCTTCACTTTGATGTGCTTGATTCTAGGGTTGACCCTTTCTGATTGTGTCAGCTTTATACATTTCTGGTTGTTTTCAAAGATTGGGATGGGGTTTGACCTGTCTATACCCATGTCCATTAAAAGCTGGCAAATCCACATTACTTCTTGGCAAGCATTTGCTGCTGCTATGTATTCAGCTTCAGTGTGAGCTTCAGTTGTTTTCTTTTTGCTAGACCAACTTATGGTTCCTTCTCCGTATTGGAAGATGTAACCACTTGTGGATTTGCGGTCTGTGCAGTCTCTGGCCCAATCAGCATCCGCATATCCAACTAGTTTTGGATGTGATGTTGCTGGCAGTCGTAGCTTCATCTGAATTGTTCTTTTTAAGTATTGTATTACCCTCTTTACTGCGCTCCAGTCATGCTGACAGGGTGCTGTGACTTTTCTAGCGAGTATGCCCACTGCTGCTGATTTGTCTGGTCTTGTCACAGTCACAGCCACGCCAAGGAATATTGTGCCTGCGGTCCGGTGCGATCAAAATAGCATTTTGATCGCACCGGACTGGAGCGCAGGCACAATGTGCCTTGCGATCCCGGGCAAGCAATCGCATTGCGGCCGGAGGGCGTGGCTACTGTGCCATTCACTTCAATGGCCCGTCACACCCCCTCCTGCCCCACTAAAAATGAGCCGGCCGCAATGCGAGGCAGTGCGTTCTGGCCAGAATCGGCCCGGAAAACGCACTGCAACTGGTGTGAACGGGCCGTCAAAGCTGGCATTATACACTGTATACAGTCTAAATGAGATTACATCTCAAACCATTACTTCTCCTACACCAAGCTAGACTCCTGGCAAAAGTCTTACACTTTACAAGGTAACAAGACAACCCTATAGAGTAGCTCCTGATGGGGGCTATGGTTCAGCTTATACTTTGTACTTTTCACATTCCAACATGACTGACGCTCAGTCTTTAAAGGGCTGTACATGTGCCCAGTGGTACCCAGACAATTTCTTTGGTACTGTCCCACTCTGTGAAAAACCCTCAGGCCAGGCGGAACTCCCAGGAGCCCCCACACCAACCATCCACCAATCCGGTAAAGGGAACCTGTCACGCAGGTACCACTGGATTAGATTTCCCACCCGCCTCTTAAATGTCTCATGAACTCTTATGGTTACATATATCAATTAAAGTGAGTCTTACCTCCATTTTCTAATTTGATGTATCAAAAATACAGCTAAAATTCTGATGCTAAAAGAAACATTGACCCCTTTTTTGGGGACTTTGTTATGATTCGAGGAATATAAGGGACTTAAATATGTGTATGCAACTATGCATACAAGGCTAGAATATACACAGGAATAAAAAACTAAGGTTGTTATCAGTCTGCATATTTTTTATTCCTCAGGGTCAGTCCAACCAAATGTGATATTTTGTTTTAACGTGGTGGTGGAAAGCTGAAGAGCCTGGAACTTTAAAAGAAAGTTCTCACCAAGTCCCAAAGAGATATAAAATGCCAGTGGGTGAATTATCCCACCAACATCCATCAGTTTTGAGTGGGCTGACCCTATTATAAATGTTCAGTTAACAGTAATTTGGCAGCTAATGTACTGCATACAATGAAATTCATCTTTAAATCTTCTATAGTATTGGAACTTTTATATTGATTTTTGGGATGCTTCAAGATGCTTTATCACATTGATAGGTCTTTACTTTAAGATTAGTGGCTGTTTAAAAGAATAGGCTGTCAAGCCCAAGAATCTGTCGGTGAGACAAGAATGAACTTGGACTGATGAACTGGAAAGAAAATGAGTGCTAAAGCAACGGAACCATGATATATTCCAGGCACTATATCTTGTACTTTATTTTAAATCTGTCAGCTAGTTATAAATGATATCAAATGATTTCTGAATTGCAGTTAATTATATAAAATTTTTATACTGTGAGCTGTGTCCAGAATATAAACTGTACTTTAATTTGCTTCAGAACTTTCCAGAGAAAAAAAAGTTCAGAGCAGTTTAATGTGTTTATGCTCAATTACTATTATGTTCTAATTTTCAGTTGCAGTGACTGAGCTAAGCTATTTCCAGCTACTGTAATCAGCTACATAATTGTGTCACTGGGGGGCACTGGACTCCCGGTGCTTAATCTCTGGAAAAGTATTTAGGAGTTTAGTCTTGAGGACATGAATACTTTATGAGAACTACAGTGCTGTTCCAATACATTAAAGACATTGCAGAGGATTAACAACTTACACTAGAATAGAATATCTTTAACTACAATGGAAGATTTACACAGGAAAATAAAAGTGTTCACATACATTACTCAGTGCCTCTGAAAGTTACTATGGATGGGTTCCTATTTTCATTGACACTTTTATAGAAGTTTGCCTTTACGTGATTTAAAGGGTAAGTATAATGGCTTCTAGTCAGTTGTAATAAGTGTATAAGCTTTTGAGCTGTAGTTTATATAATTTTACACAAATTCTTCATTTTATTCATAAGAATTTGTTTTGGACACATCTATGTTGCTTAGTTTGTTACACATGATGTGTTTTCTAATAAGAATATCCAACACTTCCAGTTACTTGTATATAACTGGCTTGGTTGGCCAGTCCCTGATGGGGCAAGGGTAGCCATCCTTTATGACTTTCTCTGCAGTCTCTAAATCTGAGCTTTTTGCACCTTAGAATTGTTTCACAGCACTACATTAAACTATCCATGATGTGCAGTATTTAATATTTACTGGATAAAAGAAAATTAAACCATTTTTAATAAATGTATTTATTAGGATCACAATAGAATGAGGAATAAAAACATATAAAAACACTATTCATTCAATTTAAAGGGTGACTGAAAATAAACCACAAGGTGAGTTATATAAAATTAATTTTACCTAAACTGGCAGCTAATATAAATGAATATGTTACACATGTAGAGAATCTCAATTTCTCTGCAGGTGTGGGAATTTTATATAAATAGATGTGAAATGTATTTAATGTGGTATGCAATAAATAATGTGCAGTTTTCTTTTCAGCTTTAATGGCCCTATTAACGTACTGGCTTTTAGATACCCTGTGCGTTTTACTCCATTGACTTAACATGATTTATTTGTATATGGTTTATCTGTACATTCTTTTCAGAATAGACTTGGCCCTGCTTTTAGAGTCCTGTAAGTGACGATACATAGGCATGCTCTGTGATGTTTCATGCCTGCTTTAATTTACTGGATGGTCAGATAATTGAACCTTTTGGTGACTGAAGCATGGCCTTAGCACGGGCGGATTGGAGGGAGTGTACAGATTGGCTGAAGCTTTTTCCCAGATGATGATGAGAAATGAGAGAGAATCTGTTTCCATGGCAATGACTGCAACAGGCAGAAGAAGTTATGTAGTGCCTATCATAATGAGTGAGGCGGTTGACCTGAGTTAAAATGAGAAAATGCGAGATGAAGAAATATAATAAAAAATCAATTGTTGTTAGTGGGAACAAAGGGGGCTGAATGGAGAGAAATAAAGCAAAGAAGCAGAGCCAATAAAGACTGAGGGGGGAATTTATCAATATTGGAGCAGATATAATCTGGAGCAGCTGGCAGCCAATCAGGTTCTCTCTTCAGTTTGCTCAGTTAAGATTTGAGAATGAAAGAGAGAAGCTGATTGGTTGCCATGCACAGCTGCTCCAGATTTTGTCTGCTCCAGTTTTGATAAATTCCCCTTTAAGAGTAGGACAGCGCTACAACGTGAGTGCTAAGTTATACAACATGCAACATATTGGAAGTTGATGTAGCAGTGAGGACTGTGCAAAGTATTAATGTCACTGTCTGGAAAATATTATAGTTCACTGGACGTTACTTGTTGCTACTATTCAATATATGGGCTCTAAAATATACAATACTATGTGGATTATTGTCTATTGTAACTGACAGATTTTTTCAATTAGAACTGCACTTGTTATGCACAAGACTCAATTGATTGGAGGCACTGGCACTTATTAGGCCTTGTTCAGACAGGGGGCAGGCTCCATCAGTAGAGAACCATTATTTACAATAGTGGGCCGTAGAGTGGGAGTTGACAGAATCAGGGCATGGAGAGGGCCCAATCAGAGGCCCATTGAGTAACCACATTAATGTTGTCAGATAGGTATGTCTACAATGAAATAAAAAGAAAGACGAGTTCTATATATATGCCATCACAGTATGGATTCCACATTAGTGAGTATAAAACGAGTTCTAGTATTACATCCCACCCAAACAAAAACAATGCACTCTTATTTTTGTCTCTGCAGTGTGGCACTATATTGGTATATTTGGCGGTTTCTCCTTTGTCCTCATTCAACTAATACTGATAACAGCTTTTGCTCACACTTGGAACAAGAACTGGTGAGATTTTCTTATTACTCCCATAATAGTATGTGATAGATTCAATCACCACTTGAGGGCAGTATTGGCATGGTGCCAGAAACACGTCAGCTTTTTTCTCTTTGCTTACCTTCTTGCTACAATTTATCTGTTTCTGAATGGCATTTAGGAGGCAAATGCCAGGTTTAAAATCCACATTTGAGTCTAAAAGTTAACAAAGATAATGGAAAGTAAATACTAAATTCTGGATCTATATTGCAGGTCCTATTTCCTGCACAGTGCCCACTGTTTCTGTATAACAGACCATCACTGTGTAGGGATCTGTGATGTAACACAGTTACAGCAATTTTGCTCATTTGTGGCTCATCAGTGTACTATATATAAATGGTGAGGACATAGGTGGCATCGATTAGCATGGATTTCAGCCATGACACCATAAATACCTCCAATTGAAAATGTCATTTTTTACCCTAACATGTTGACCTTGTTAATAATAATATATTACCTGTACTCACAGTTGTAGAGTACTCACAAAAATATGCAATGCTACTGCTTGCATTGTCCTTTGTTGTTGATTGGTGGATAACATGGATAAACGCTCATAACCATTTCCCGTATTAATATGTGAAATAAATGGTACTACAAAGCCTATTCTGTTGAGTAGATTTTCTGGTGTCTTCTTTTTCTTCCAGGCTGACCGGTGCTTCTAAAGACAAACGCTGGTATATAGCTGCCCTTGTCACCACTCTTCTCTTCTATTCCATTGCCTCCCTGGCCTTCTATTTCCTGTACAAGTACTTCACCCATCCAGCTGGCTGCCTACAGAACAAAGGACTCATTAGTATTAACATCTTCCTGTGTGTAATCATGTCCTTCATTTCAATCACACCTTGTGTACAGCTCAGTAAGTCTTTCTCTACTGTGTACATTGCATCTGTCTGAGTATCTTCAGCACCTATTCATTGAAGTAAATGAAAGCAAAGAGCATTAGCACATAACTACTAATGAAATTGTAAAGGCAAATTAACAGGCTCACCGGATAACTTATCCCCTGCGTTATAGATATTCTGCAAGTGATTCTAATTTACTATCACTGTTTTCTACCTGGTCTAAAACCGCTTTTGACCTAAAGGGACGCTTTTTGGATGCCATGGACGTTCTCAAGTTTCCAGGCAGAAAGAACAGTAGAAGTGCAGGTAGGGCACTGGACAAAGCTTTAGGAACAAAATTGAAGTGAAATGGTTTGATACATAAATGTAATCATAGCAGATTAGATTGTATTGTGTGTATTCTGTGTATATTGCATGTTTTCACTTTTGAATTTCCCGCCGGCTCTGCCCCCCGCTGTGACGCCAAAAACTAAACTGAAACTCAGATGCCGGTATTGGCCGGCCACGTACAGCGGAGGACACCGCGGGCTCGTAGGGACAAGGTAAGTGACACTTTTGTGCAATCCCGAGTGTGGCCCGGGGTTACCGCTATTGATGCTGAAAATTAACCCCGAGCCACACTCAGGAATACCACCAGGGAGGTTAAGTAGGGTAAACACAGTTAGAATTTCGAAGGAACAAAATCAATTTTGAAACATTCGTTCGACTTTCTTATCGTTATGGTCAAATTGAAGATTGATTTTTGATCAGGACTATTTACTCAGGGCTCTGGCAGGTAAACAGGGCAGTGGAGTGCCCTGAAAAGAGGAAGAGGTGACAGGTTCACTTTAGGAAAGATCATTTAAAATCAATTTCTTACTTTTGGTTACTGCACTTTGCACCATTAGCCATATTGTTTAAGCCTGGCTGTCATAAATTATGATTACATTGTGACTATCTGTTGAACAACTATCTCTCTGTCATTATTTATATTGCGGTTATCTCTGATTCTTTTGTTAAGTATAGAAAAGTTGCTCTTAAAAAAAAGTACCTTTTTCATTGGCTTCTGTTGGCAACACCATATTTACTACCCAGGTAGATATCCTGGTGCATGCATTCTGATATACCAGCACAAAAGTAGCCACTTTATAGGTTGCTGGCTGACCTAACCACTTATATTGTGTCTATTTATAATCCAATTATAGACTAAGAGGTAGGTGTAGTTTTAAACCAGTGAATTATTTGTGAATGATAATAATAATAACTCTACAAAACATAATTTATTATACCTTGAACTGTTAAATAATCTTAAAAAAAAACCCTGAAACTTTCTATAAAAATGCTTACTATTTTATTTCATCTCCATGCTCCTTATTGTCTGGTACACAATTAATATATTGATTCCTATGCCTAGCCACTCCTTCTCCCAGTGTGGTGTACCTAAGAAGGTCTGAGCTAAGAATAGGAGCTAAGCTTCCATGAAACTTTAGGAGTTTGCATGCTCATGCCCAACCTGGATGATGAACTGGAGAAGTGGGCAGAAATACATAGTTTGTGAAGATGTCAATTACTGCAGGGAAAAACAAGATTTTATTTAGTAATTTCAAACATCTCCATCTTTGCTTTTTAAATAGTGCAGTTATATTGTTAAAGCTAGAGGAGGAGAAGGCCAGCACCAATTTATTTTAACAACAGCAATTGTGACATATTTTCTGACCTATCCATTGTATTTACCCTGAGAGCATACAGCCAGCAGTGTTTCCATGCATATCGATAAGATTGCTGCTGATTCAGCCAAAAGCAGCCAGACTGGGGCATGCCAACCCTTGTCATTGGTATAGGTAATGGACAAACAGAAAAAGGGCCTGTGTTAATAGGCTTTTATTTGCTTAAACAGGATTTGCAAATCTAGGGGGATGCAAAACCTGCTTAATGCAGGTCAGAAGGAGGTCTGCTGCAGGTCAAATGCACCTACCAATGAATTGTGAATTATTTCAGAAGTGTCTCAAACTGACATCATCTACACAAACCCAAAGCCCGTCAACACAAGCCCTAAAATTGTTATAGCTTATAGTTTTCAGAGACAGTTTTCACTTTTTATGGAAGAGTGAGCATCATGTACAGGCACAGCCATACTCTAAATTGTGTGTTCTTCACACTTGCACTTTAATTCTTGCAATAAACCAATAACTAGTGTATCATGGATGTACACTCACCGACCACTTTATTAGGTACACCTTGCTACTACCGGGTTGGACCCCATTTTGCCTTCAGAACTAGATTCAACAAGGTGATGGAAACATTCCTTAGAGAGTTTGGTCCATATTGACAAATAGCATCACAGGCCCAAAGAAAATAGCATCACCCCCACACCATTACACCACCACTACCAGCCTGAACCGTTGATACAAGGCAGGGTGGATCCTTGCTTTCATGTTGTTTATGCCAAATTCTGACCCAACCATCCGAACGTCGCAGCTGAAATCGAGACTCATAAGACCAGGCAACGTTTTTCCAATCTTCTATTGTCCAATTTTGATGAGCCTGTGCGAATTGTAGCCTCCATTCTAAAAGTTTGCATCAATTTTTGAAGTTAGAATATGGATTCAGTTAGGTCTCAAGGTCTTGAATTTCTGTTACAATACATGTGCACACTCTTGAAGAAACTTTAAGATTTTATGCTGTGAAAAAATAACAGCTTGCCAGCAATACACTCTGCATGTGTTCCAGTCTGGCAGCTATGCTAAATGTTGTTTGGTCCCATCTAAAGATTGATTGCCCTTTGACCATCAACTAAATAAACGGGCCGTCAGCTCTCTCCTACCCCCTCTAGTAATTCAATTGGCATAGATCATATAGCGAGGCCATGTGAGGTCATGACTTTGTCTACTTAGCATGTGAATGGTATTCTTGTATCTTGACATTTGTACCAAAAGGGACTTTGAGTATCATCTTACTTTGATGTTTGTATCCCCCATGGTCAAGAAGCCGCCAGAATATGTTGCTGAGGCTTTGATATGGCCTAACGGAATAAAATAGAATATTATAGGCTTTCTGTGGTTGTATTTAATATCGTTTTGCAGAGAGCACTGACGTACATTACATCTAGTAGGAACCAATCTAAAATCAGCATTCATTAGGATGTTACATGTTTTGCTTTATGAAGAAGCCTAAACTGCTTTTAAAGATTGCAATACTTATGTACTTAGAGGATAACACACATTAACTCTTTTTTTTCTGCTTTACTTATTTTTTATTATAAAACACTCTGCATCATTGTTAGAAAGGTTTAAGAAAATGGCACTTTTGTTATGATGACTTTATCATAAACTTGGCAGAGTATTGATATTAAATGACATCTAGTTGCCTATTTATCTACATCAGAAAAAACTCTTTCCCGACACCATAAGCATCACTTGGATTCATTCCCTGGGTTATTCTCACCACTAATGGTTTCTGGAGATTGTTTGTTATGACTTTCATTGATTCTGTGGGGTTGATTTACTAGAAGTGATTTGGTTTTCCACTTGGATTTTTTCTTTGCAGGGGAATCTTCCTTTAGCTTTGTGAATGTGGGGAAAATTCACTTTGCTAAGGATACCCAATTATGCACAAGGAAATTTATTTTTGCTTGCACATGATTGGATGATGGAAGTCAGCAGAGCTTCACCTCATTCACTAAGCTATGGCAAAATTCCCTTGCAAAGCGAACAGCCTATTTGCCTTTAGTAAATCAACCCCTTTGTCTTTGCACCATGTTAACAGGGAAGCAAAACATGTGTGTTTTAATTTATGTCAATGAGATCTTTCCATCAGCTGAATATTTCTATAACCTTATTTCTTGTTTTCTAGAACAACCTCGTTCTGGATTGCTTCAAGCCTCCATCATCAGTTGCTATGTCACATACCTTACATTTTCAGCTCTTTCCAGCCGACCTCCAGAAAGAGGTCAGTGAAAAAGTGATGATGTTGTAGAGAACAAAGCATTTCAATCACTGTCATTGTGGTTTCATATATTGATATACTAGCTGTGTCCTGAGCTGAACCTTTGCATTCTGGAGCTGTCAGTGTGGCTCTATGAGCCGGTGTGAGATCACAGTGCAGTGCTGAGTCTATTAGGCTCCATCAATAATGGGGCTTGTTTTCACCATAGAGGTTTTATATCAAAGTCTCCCAAATAGATCAAACAGTCATTGTCACCACATTATAATGGAACACGGTCATTCTCTTACATGACAAGCTCACAATAAACAAAACAAGTTTGTCTTTTCATCTCTTCCATTTTCCTACTTTGAGTCTAAAATGCCCGCTTGAATCCCTTTCTGTTTGTAGACATGTGTCTGCTTTCTGACATTTAGTTGCTTTCCATCACCATTTCTTAGCTTGTATTGTATTCTGTTGTTTCTGTGATTAGTTAAGTGTTCAAAAATATATATTTTTGTATAAAACATCGCAAATGTAAAATCCAATCTACTACGTCTCCGCTTGCTATCACTATTTTTAATCCTCTATTACTGTTTAATAACAGTGCTTTCCTTTCTGTGTGTATTTCTTTAATTTTGCTTTTCTCAGACCTATTTTTATAACACTAGCTTTTTACAAAAGACAAAAAAAATGTCCCATTGTTTCAAAATAAGTAGGTATTATAGTTTCATATACAGTATATAAACATTAATGGGCATGTCTCTTGCCAGTAGAGACAATATGGTCATATAAAGGCCACATTGTATGCAGTTGGCATATGCTTGCTCCCATAATACCTGATGCAATATGCATGGGACAAATGTCCAAATCTGTTAACCCTTTGTCACTGCTGATGGTTTAGGGTCTTGCAGATCTGCCTTCTTGAAACTGCAAGGGAGGGTTCTCTACGCTTTGCTTGAAAGAGAAAATATATTTCTAACCTAGAGCTTTATCTAACTACAATCAGCCACATCTGTTTCTCCCAAAGACAACTCATCCCCTTAGCACTGTCAGATGGGGAGATATTGCATCTGAGACTTCAGAATGTTGCGTTGGCACATTCTAATGCAGTAAGAAGCATTTGTTATGAAAATGCTAATCTGCACACAGAAAATTAGCAACAGTAAATGTTTTTGTTGTTTTTTCATATGGTATTCATGCTTTTTGCCCGAAGATGGAGGTATACTTTAAGGGTGTATGCACACCAAAAATGGTAAGTATTTGGAGGATCCTTTGACTTGCGATTGTACCTTCCGATACCTTGCGTTTTTTTCTTTTTTCCTCCTTTTTTGGTAAAATTTATGTGAAATAACATGTTTTGAGTGGACATACTTCACTGTATTTGCTGGCAATGCATTGCGTTTGCGCACGTTTTTATTGCAATGCAGGCTCTACTTTTTTTTCAGCGCAACATATGGCAACGCAAGGCAATACTGTGGTGTGAACTGTCCCCATTCACACCATTCATTTTTCGTTCCCCTTGCTTTACCATCCGTTAAAAAAATGGATGGTAACGCGACGCAGCTCATCATCCCCTGTAAATAAGGCCTTAAGGGTTTATACTGACTACAATCATTTTATTCCTTATTCATACGTCCAATAATCTTAAATATACCATCACTTTGTGCTTCAACAAGACTTACTCCATTGCCTTACAAAGAAGTGTCTGAGGTATAGAACCTGCTAGCAGGAGACAGCAATGTACAAAGGGTGGAGTGATTGGATTGGTCTGCCTATAGTGTCAGCAATAAGGAGGTCATTCATCCTGGCATATTGATCCTTAGTCGGATCAATATGCTAGATCAAAAAGTATCTATGCTACTTGTACTATGGTGACTGTCAGTCACTATTACTTTAGTACATCTGAGAATTACCTTAATATGGCAGATAAAAGAGTAATAATGATATTCAGAGTGAAATAGTTCATAGCAACCAATTACATTTAATTTACCAAAGTTACAGAATTATGAGGTCTGATTGGCAGCTGTAGGTTATTGAATTGCTCTTTATATTGCTAAACAGTTCTGTCTGTATTTGACCTATTTCCTCACCATATATGTCATTTTCTAATTTCACTGCTTTCGGCTTTGTGTGTCTTGCAGTTCAGTTTCGGGGGCAGAATATCACAGTGTGCATTCCAAGTATAAGCAGGGATGGACTTCAGACTGAAGACACTTCAATTGCCATTATTGGGACAGTCATCATGTATGTGTGTGTCTTGTTTGCGTGGTAAGTACATATTTTCTTTCAATCCACGCCAAAACATAAAAATACCAAATGAAACAAAAGCAGGTGATTGCTCATCTCCAATATAGATATTTATTGACAAAGAAGTTGCAGCCGTCTTTCAGTAGCAATGTGCATTTTGTATTGGAATGTAAATGTAAAAAGCTAGGTTTTATTACTAGTACGTATTCAGCAGTCCTGTCAATATTACAGAAAGGCAATCCTTAATTTTCTCTCATTCAAAATCTTTAGTAAAGAGCAGAGTTTCTTTATATTCATTGTTGATAGAATGGCAGTTCCCAACCTTAAAGGCACTGGCTTTAATTCTATGTTTCATTGATTTTTGTTTCTCTCTTTGTATTTTCACGGATAAACATATTGGTTATTATTATGGCTTCTAGTAAAGTTAATGGCTATAGGCTCAATTCTCGAAGACTGATAAGACTAACTTTTATCTCACAGTTATTGCCACTCCAAAGCTAGTGGTATTTTAAAGTGAAATTTAAGGCTCTTTCACACGTGCGGCATTAATCAGACGTTTTTAACACCTCTCTGCTGTCTATTAAAGTCTATGTTGGATAAAACAATGGGAACCGCCCAGTACAGTACACACGCAGGCGTTAGCGTCGAGGTGCGTCAAAAAATAGATTGCATGTTGCGTTCTGGAGGCATTGGCGCTGGAATAATGCCTCCATTGAAGTCTATTGGTTAACGCGCCCTAAATCGGCTTTCAGGTATTCATGAAGCATTGCACGCGCGTTCAGGAGAAGTACAGGAGGCTTTGCAAGCCGCGAAAAAACACTGGGAAATCAGAGAGTGAGAGGAGAGACCAGCTGCAGATGCCTTGACCCAGTTCTGCCCAGCTACTGCGACTCCTGCTGGTCACTTCCCTTTACTACATCACTTTACCCTCCCCTACTTGCAGGGCATTTTGCAAGCGTTTTTGACACCTCCCTAATGCCCTGAAAACACCTGCTGATGCCTTGCTAACACTATAAGTGCGTTAATCAGCATTGCTCTGTCATTAAATGCTCAGCACACGTGTGAAAGAGCCCTTAAGGTGCCCACCCATCCCTTCCTTAAACTCTGATTGAAAGTGCAAAAACTACCTGTGGGTGGTTAGGTAATAACATTATCTAAATCAAGTTAGATAATATAGTTACCTTTCCCTGACTTCCGTAGTGCAAGGGGTGATGTTGTCCTTCTGCTGTGGAGATTCTGGTGAATGATGAGTAGCACCAATCTCATGAGAAGACACATTCTCTGAGATTTTACCAGAAGAAGGAGGAGTGTCACCCTTGCCTTGGCTCTGTGGGTGCAAGTCAGGAGAAGGTAAGTATATTTTCTAACTTTTTTCCCCTACAGGTTTTTTTTTTTTTTGCACTATTCATCTAACCGTTTAGGGAGGGGGGCACCTTGAACAAAAGGACCTTGCTACTTAGCTGCAAGCTCCACTTTAAGGAGTGATAATCCATGCAATAATCTTTGTGACTTGAGCTAAATTTAGCTGATCTGTGTAGTAATGCCAATTCTGAATAAAAAAAAAAATAGTCATAAGAAAAAACAGATAATAGCTGATATAAAATATCACACCTTATTTCGTTGAGTATTGAGCCTTCCTTCTGACACAGACAGGACAATAAAAATGTGTTCCACTCCTTATTTACTGACCAAGCCAAAATAGAGCTTAGGCTTTAGGGCACATTTACATTTTCATGTCATGGTAATGCATATAACTTGTGATACTGCGTTGCAGTACCCTTCAGTATTAATGGCAACCCAATGCACTAAGGTGACGCACAATGCAAAGCAACAAATGGTAGTGTGTGGTGGTGTGTTGTATTACAAAATAGGTAATACACGAAAAGTCACTTGCTGTCACTTCCAGCACCCCCCAACCTTCTTAAACCGGTCAGGAGTGGGATGGGATCTACTATACCTTAAGTATTACAAAATAGGGTCACATGCACATTTTTGGCACGTTGGGGTGTGTCGTTAGCCCATTTATTTCAACTGGCTCCCAATACATTGTCAGTATTTCTCTATAGGTAAATGAATGAAAGATAGACAGCTAAATAGTTCTACAGATAGATATAATAATATAGTAGGATATAAATGATCAAAGAAAATCTAAATAACCAAATCCCTGTATGGATACGTGTGTGCTGAGTTGGAAAACTGAATGTATAGTGGGTAAACTTTATGCAGACATGTAACAAATGTTATCCTTTGGACAGGTGCTACTTTTTTTGTATGCAACAAGATGCTGCAGGCTTATTCTGTACTCAATAAATGCATTGTTGTGGATGTGGCAAAGAATGTAAGGGGAGGAAGCATGTATGATTGTTGTAAACATGATAATATTTATGGTATCTGAATGGGGCCACCAGGCATTGCCAGCTGTTATAAATAATGCGGTTTACTATACTTAACTGAGCTTTGAGTGGAAACGCAGAAAGGTCATGAGCAGAGCAGCAAGGGAACCATGGGGAATTGTTGGTTCTCCAGGCATGCAGAATATCTTCTTCAATTAAGCCAGCAACTTGGAAGCTGAAAACACAGGGCTAGCCGCAGCTGTCCTTTGGATATCTGTTCTCTTGTGCAAACCTACTCATGGTTATATGTTGGGACTATTCCGATGTAAATGTTTCTAACCACATTGTAATTGTTACACAGCCAAGTTTTTTACTGCTGCGAGTTAACAAGGAGGAAGGGTCATCCATGAAAGGCTTGAATGCTCCCAATAAAATGATTAGAATGAGGAAAGTGTCTTTCTTGTGAAGCAGAATACAGGTGTGGTCCTGGGAGTAGTATATCATTGCTACTAGAATGATTTATAGCTGGAGGAAATAAATGTATCTGTGTTCCCATAACTACCAGTCAGACAGTTGTTATTTTTCTAATGCAGAAACTTTAATCTGATCTGTTTGAGTTAAAGAGGAACTTCACCCCACGGCTGAAAATTTAAAAAGGCAACATTAAACATATTATTACATTAATTGTAAAAGTTATACTCACCTTTCCATGGAGACTTGTGTTATCTTGAGTTCCATCCAAGTTCCCTAGTGCCTCTTCTGTTCTTCTGTCCTGAGTTGCCATTGTCAGTAAGGACATCCTATTTTTTTTGCGACACTTTCTGGTCTTTTGAGCACATGTGCAGCTAGCACTCTACCCGGGGATATTGATTACACATTTCCATAGTATCTGCAATGCGTAAATAGTACGATTCCATAGACAGTTCATTGGGTGTGCCGTCATTCCCGCCCATGCCCAACCAGTGATCTGCGCACAGAATCACATTATTTACATGTTGCTGTTACTATGGCAATGTGTAAACAATATGAATCTCGGGTAGAGCGCTGGGTGCACATGCGCAGGATTGGCAGCATGTTTACACCCAGTGCTCTCGCAGTTGCCCACAGACCCCTGGGATATATGACATTTCAATACCAGCAGTCTGTGGACAGTGGACCCACAAAAACGTATTTACAAAAAAATTGTTATGTAATTTATTAAATTTGGGGGTGAGCATTATTATCATATAAGGTATAAAAAGAGGGTGATGGTTTACTTTAAGGAAGACACATAAGTCTTTGTTCTTTTCCTGCTGTCACAGCTCTTCAGTGATGCGTTGTCCTTTCAGTTAAACCTGTAGTAACTACACATACTTGCGGGAGCCTGTTCCTCTGAAAAAACACATATTTTGTGCATTATGTATGGCCTTCAGCTAAAAATAATGCTTTATATATAATACCTAAAACTAATAAAAGCAATAGAGGAGAAATGTTGTAAAAACCTAGGAAAAGGTAGGTGTACAGTAGGGATGTCCAGATACCACTTTTTCAAGACCAAGTACAAGTACAAGGTCTTCCCCTCATGTACTTGCCGATACCAATTACCGATACTTTTTCTTAAAGGGACAGGTATTTTTTTAAAACAATACAGACTAAGGATTTTAGGCCAATTTCTTTATGATTATGAAGAACTTTCATTTAAGACTGTTTTAGAACAATAAAACATTTGCATTTGCTTTCACGCAGCTGTAGTGAAACTACAAATCCGATAGAGTTACAATTCTGCCCTCCTAACATGAATAGGTTAAATGACCCATAGTACAACTATATATTATGTACTATGGATCATGATTTAACCTATTAATGTTAGAAGGGGAAAATTATACATCTAATACTGCAGTGTACTGGAAGTATGTGCTGTATATGTAGTTTGTACTATGGATCATGATTTAACCTATTCATGTTAGCAGGGGAGAAATGTAACTCTATTACTGCAGTGTACTGGACGTGTGTGCTGTATATATGTACTACATATACAGTACAATGTAGCAATAGATTTATAGCCAGCCCTGTCCCAACTTCCCTCCCTCACAGTTTCACTCCGATCCCTGTTGCCTCACACGGTGCCTCTTGTAGTCGGCGCTGGGCAGGATCGCTGCCTTGCGTCTCGGTGCTCAGCTTGTGGGAGGCGCTCGCAATTCTGCCCTGCTAACATGAATAGGTTAAATCATGATCCTTTGCACACATACAGCACACACGTCCAGTACACTGCAGTCTGCACCATTAGATTTACAATTCTCCCCTGCTAACATGGATAGGTTAAATCATGATCCATAGTACATAATATGTTGTTGTACTATGGATCAGGGGTGTAACTAGAAATCACAGGGCCCCATAGCAAAATTTTGTATGGGGCCCTGTGATTTCTAGTTACACCGCTTGCAAAGCCCACTTGAGATCCCACACAGCCCACCTGAGAGTGACCCCGCCTGGGTCGCTATTGTGATTGTTACGCCACTGCTATGGATCATTTAACCTATTCATATTAGCAGGGGATAATTGTAAATCTATTGCCGGCAGTGTATTGGGAATGTGTACTGTATATGTGCTACATAGACAGTACACTGCAGCAATAGATTTACAATGATCTCCTGCTAACATGAATAGGTTAAATCATGATCCATAGTACAACTACATATTATGTACTAT